GTGTTTCACTGGGCAGGCAAGGGCTGCCCAGAGACAGTCGTGAAGTTTCGCAAGGTCAGATATTTTTAACCAGAAGGTAGCGAGGTGATGAGCATCAGCCCAGGATTCTGCTTCAAAGAAAGGGAATCTGGTCCATGAGGGGACTGCTGGCATTTGTCTCGTTGCTGGGATGTTCATTTGGCTCCTTGCGGGGATGTTCAGCCGCATGTTTGCAATTTAGACCCGCAGGCGAACGGAGGCGTCGCTCAGTCTCACTTCAGTCTTGTGAAAAGAGCGTACACTGGGCACAAGGGCTGCTTGTGCTGGTGCGAGCAATGCTTGGGGAAGGGAATGCTCCCTGAAAAAGGAACCGGAGAGGTCCTATCAGAAAACCCTGTAAGAGCTGAGGGAGACCCAAGCACTAACAAGGGCCAAGATACCTTGAGAAGCCTCGTGCTGTTGCTCAGTGTGCCGACTTTGCTTCCTGGAGAGTGGGAACTGAGCATCAGCACGTAGGTCAGGCTCCAGCCAGGACTGCCTTCCCATTCCCCCTGGGCTGTCCTTCTCTCGCCTGGACAGAGACAACTCATCCTAGAAAACATGCTGCTCTTTAAGGTTTTACAGGTGTTTACTCACATTTTGGAGAGTTAGAGATATTAATATGCCACTCAAATAAGCAGGCTGTGAAAACTGCAGAGGAGCAGCTCGGGCATGATCAGGCTAGTTCACACCGCTCAGCATTCGGAGTCAGACAGTCTTAGAGGCCGTTTGTCTGGTACTGTCTGCTACATCGGCTGGGGCTGGTCTCTCTTTCCTCACATTTTCTATGCTTTTTTTCTACATATGCATTTATCAAGAGTGCATGAAGTTAAATTATGCTTTACGTGAAAGTGGCATAGAAGTGATGAAGGCATGAGAACAAGCAAATCACCAGGGCCAGTCACCCCCTATTATAATCGTTTAAATCAGGATTGACTTCACTGCAATCGGCAAAGTTAGCAGAGATCCGAACCGGCTTTTGGTGAATTTACTTTATTACCTGAAGAAACACAGAACTTGTCTGGTCTGTCTTAGAAGAGCCCTGATTTGAGTTATGTTGGGAATGTGCCTGTTGCCCCTGTCCTATCTCTGGCTTTGTTTCCTGGCTGACCTTGGACTCGTGTTGTAGTCTTGATTTTGGTCCTGTCTCCTGTTGATCCTGTCGTGGCTGGGCCTGACTCATCTCTTTGCCCTCTCTAGGGCTGTTGTCAGCCTTGGCTCCTGGCTTGCCTTCTCTTGTGGAGAAGCTCTTAACTGCTACCCAGCAAGGGACACCAGATGAAGTGTGGGCAGTTAATGGATCCACACCATCCATCTGAAAAGATAGGTGGAAATGTAGAAAGCATGAGAAGAAATTAGCAATTCAGCTGGTTCTCTGATTAAGAGAATGGAGGCTGCCTGGCAGGCGGGGCTGGAATACATGATGGCCAGTAACAGGACCAAGCACTGAGAGTGCTGATACAGGTGCCTGGCAGAGAATGGAGTGGGAGGGCAAAAGGCGTAACAGTTGTCTCCATCTGAAGAAGTCTTCATCAGGGTAGTGCATGTTTTTCATACATGTCCTGCTTTCAGAGAGAACAGCCAGGGAGGCTGATGACACAGACAGCATACCTGGGCAGGGGCTGACTTGGGCACAAATCTGGGAGGAAGCCCTTGGAGGGCTACACTGGGACAAGAAAGTAGGTAAGCTGTGGTGCCTGTGGCAGTGTAGCAGCAGGGTCTGATACCCTTTATGTTCTGGTGCCTTTCTCTTCTTCAGAGAAGCCCAGGAGCTGCAGGAAATAAATAAATGCAGACTCTGTTCTGCTCAATCCCAACAGGTGTTTCAGTAGTGAAATGTAGAGACTATCTTAGAGTTGAGAGAGAAAGGGATGAGGTAAACAAAGTGGCAGTGTGTTTCTGTGGTAGGCAGTAGGGGAGAGTAGGAGCAGCTGTACATTTGAATGCTCAGCATTAAATTCTTGGGCACAGATTCTGTCTGGTGCTGTTTTTTGTAGTAAAGCTTATTATTTTGAAACCTTCAGAGTTCCCCCATTATCCTGAAGAACAGTTATAATGCTGATGGTTCTTGGGCATTCTAGGAAAAAAAGAAACTCGTAGCTCCTCTTCACTGTGATGCTCTGAGCGCTTTCACCGTTACATTTGCCAGCCTCTTGGGCTGCTCTCCCAGAGCACTGGCACTGTCTTTGCATTGGGTTTGCCTGGCAAGGTTTTGGTAGCAGGGGGGCTACAAGGGTGGCTTCTGTGAGAAGCCGCTAGAAGCTTCCCCCATGTCCGACAGAGCTAGTGCCAGCTGGCTCTAAGATGGACCCGCCGCTGGCCAAGGCTGAGCCCATCAGCGACAGTGGTAGTGCCTCTGGGATAACAGATTTAAGAAGGGAAAAAAACTGCACAATGGCAACTTCAGCCAGAGAGAGGAGTGAGAATATGGGAGCGAAAACAGCTCTGCAGACACCAAGGTCAGTGAAGCAGGAGGGGGAGGAGGTGCTCCAGGCGCTGGAGCAGAGATTCCCCTGCAGCCCACGGTGAGGTAGGCTGTCCCCCTGCAGCCCATGGAGGTCCGTGGTGGAGCAGATATCCACCTGCAGCCCATGGAGGACCCCACACCGGAGCAAGTGGATGCCTGAAGGAGGCTGTGACCCATGGGAAGCCCGTGCTGGAGCAGGCTCCTGGCAGGATCTGTGGCCCCGTGGAGAGAGGAGCCCAGGCTGGAGCAGGTTTTCTGGCAGGACTTGTGACCCCCATGCTGGAGCAGTCTGTGCCTGAAGGACTGCAGCCCGTGGAAGGGCCCCATGCTGGAGCAGAGGAAGAGTGAGGAGTCCTGCCCCTGAGGAGGAAGGAGTGGCAGAGATAACATGTGATGAACTGATCGTAACCCCCATTCCCCGTCCCCCTGTGCTGCTGGGGAGGGGGAGGGGTAGAGAAATTGGGCATGAAGTTAAGCCTGGGAAGAAGTGAGGGTTGGGGGGAAGGTGTTTTAAGATTTGTTTTTTATTTCTCATTATCCTACTCTGATTTGATTGGTATTAAATTGAGTTAATTTTCCCCAAGTCGAGTCTGGTTTGCCTGTGACAGTAATTGGTGAACAGTCTCTCCCTGTCCTTATCTTGACCCATGAGCCTTTTGCTATATTTTCTCTCCCCTGTCCAGTTGAGGAGAGGAGTGATAGAATGGCTTTGGTGGGCACCTGGCATCCAGCCATTGTCAACCCACCACAGTCCTTTAGTTCTTCCCACAAACTTGACTTGACAGCTGATGTTCAGTACACAGCTCTTGCTGATCTGCCTATGGGTAAACACGAGGGACAATTCCACTTCATCAACAGTAAAATTGGTGTGGCAATAAGTATGTTCCATCTCATCCCATGGTGGGAGATACCTGCTCTTCATTACATCTGACAATTGGTTGTGATGCTGCACTGCAAATGAACTTGGCTGTTGTTACTTCTGTCTTTTAGAGGAATGATTTTGAGTGCTGAAATTTCATCATGTTCTATTTTGTGATCTGCAGCTCTCTTTCCCTGCTGCATCTGTGTGACAAGTCTTTTATTTCAGTGGTTTTTTCTCACTTACAATCTGTGGCATCGTCTACCTACATGTTGTAAGTCCTAAAATAGCTGTGGAAATTACATCCTGTCTACGAGTACCTTTTTTGGGCAGGTGATGTAAGAGATCGATGGGAAATACACCAGCTCTTTAGTTTTTTATTCAGCACTGTCTTAGGGCACACTTTTTGCTTTCAGAGAGAGCTGTTACAACAGTTCTTGTGCAGCATGAGCTGCTTCTGGTTTCGGGGTGTCTAAGGTGAGATGCCATCCATGGCTAGGACAGGGAGAAATGCGCTGTAGAAATGGAACTATGTCCTAGGACTCTTCTCTATATTAATACTCTCTTCTCCAGCAACATGAAATTGCCTGAAAAGGAGGCAATGGTAGCTTCTCACTGTAGAATAGTATATTATCTAATTGTTAAAGCATTCTCCAGGATGATTAGAAAATTATCTTTGAAACTTAGCGAGCAGAAAAGAGATTTAATCTTGGCTCATCTGTGGTTTAGGGTAGGAATGTGCAATGTTGCATATTGTAGCTCACTGTTTTAAGCATGCTACCTCTTAATTTTGATTTTAAAGATTAATTGGGAGCTAACTTTGAACCTGGGGGAATGGGCGTGGTTAAGGTTCAGGGCTATAAATCCTGGCTGGAAACTGATACTTTCTGAAGTCTGTAGTCTGACAGCAAAGTTGCTGAGGTAAGTGAGTTAATACTCAGCTTTGTCATCAGTGGCTTCGTTGCTGTATTTAATCAGCGCTTCTAGCAGTAGATCACACTAAGGGGCCTAACTTGTTACATGCAAGTATAGCATGAGGTTGCTTACCTCAAACTGTACCTCTTATTACATGACCTGTTTCCTTGCCCTGTCCATTTCTTTGTCCTGTGATTCTTCAGGATATTGGTCCCTAACAACTGCTTTTGAG